GGATTTTCTAGCATGAGCTTCTAATTTTAACAATTGTAACACAACGTTCATTATTAATAGGATTTTCAAGCATGAGCTTTTTATTGTAACAATTGTAACACAACTTTCCTTATTGATAAGATTTTCAAGCATGAGATTCTTATTGTAACAATTGTAACACAACGTTCATTATTGCTAAGATTTTCAAGCATGAGCTTCTTATTGTAACAACTGTAACACAACGTTCATTATTGATAAAATTTTCAAGCATGAGCTTCTTATTGTAACAACTGTAACACACCGTTCATTATTGATAAGATTTTTAAGCATGAGCTTCTTATTGTAACAATTGTAACACAACATTCATTATTGATAAGATTTTCAAGCATGAGCTTCCTTATCTATCAACTGTTACACAACGTTCGTTATTGATAGGATTTTCAAGCATGAGCATCTCATTGTAACAATTGTAACACAACGTTCATTATTGATAAGATTTTCAAGCATGAGCTCCTTATTGTAACAATTGTAACACATCGTTCATAATTGTTACGATTTTCAAGCATGGGCTTCTTATTGTAACAACTATTACATAAGGTTCATTATTGATCAGATTTTCAAGCATGAGCTTCTTATTGTAACAATTGTAGCACAACGTTCATTATTGATAAGATTTTCAAGCATGAGCTTCTTATTGTAAAAACTGTAACACAACGATCATTATTAATAAAATTTTCAAGCATGAGCTTCTTATTGTAACAACTGTAACACACCGTTCATTATTGATAAGAATTTCAAGCATGAGCTTCTCATTGTAACAAATGTATCACAACGTTCATTATTTATAAGATTTTCAAGCATGAGCGTCTCATTGTAACAATTGTAACACAACGATCATTATTAATAAAATTTTTAAGCATGAGCTTCTCATTGTAACAATTATAACACAACGTTCATTATTGATAAGAATTTCAAGCATGAGCTTCTCATTGTAACAAATGTATCACAACGTTCATTATTTATAAGATTTTCAAGCATGAGCGTCTCATTGTAACAATTGTAACACAATGTTCATTATTGATAAAATTTTCAAGCATGAGCTTCTCATTTTAACAATTGTAACACAACGTTCATTATTGAAAGGATTTTCTAGCATGAGCTTCTAATTTTAACAATTGTAACACAACGTTCATTATTAATAGGATTTTCAAGCATGAGCTTCTCATTGTAACAATTGTAACACGACGTTCATTATTGATAAGATTTTCAAGCATGAGCTCCTTATTGTAACAATTGTAACACATCGTTCATAATTGATAAGATTTTCAAGCATGAGCTTCTTATTGTAACAATTGTAACACGACGTTCATTATTGATAAGATTTTCAAGCATGAGCTTCTTATTGTAACAATTGTAACACATCGTTCATAATTGATAAGATTTTCAAGCATGAGCTTCTTATTGTAACAATTGTAACACAACGTTCATTATTGATCAGATTTTCAAGCATGAGCTTCTTATTGTAACAATTGTAACACAACTATCCTTATTGATAATATTTTCAAGGATGAAATTCTTATTGTAACAATTGTAACACAACGTTCATTATTGCTAAGATTTTCAAGCATGAGCTTCTTATTGTAACAACTGTAACACAACGTTCATTATTGATAAAATTTTCAAGCATGAGCTTCTTATTGTAACAACTGTAACACACCGTTCATTATTGATAAGATTTTTAAGCATGAGCTTCTTATTGTAACAATTGTAACACAACATTCATTATTGATAAGATTTTCAAGCATGAGCCTCCTTATGTATCAACTGTTACACAACGTTCGTTATTGATAGGATTTTCAAGCATGACCTTCTCATTGTAACAATTTTAACACGACGTTCATTATTGATAAGATTTTCAAGCATGAGCTCCTTATTGTAACAATTGTAACACACCGTTCATTATCGATAAGATTTTCAAGCATGAGCTTCTCATTGTAACAATTGTAACACAACGTTCATTATTGAAAATATTTTCAAGCATGAGCTTCTCATTGTAACAATTGTAACACGACGTTCATAATTGATAAGATTTTCAAGCATGAGCTTCTTATTGTAACAACTGTAACACACCGTTTATTATTGATAAGATTTTTAAGCATGATCTTCTTATTTTAACCATTGTAACACAACATTCATTATTGATAAGATTTTCAAGCATGAGCTTCCTTATGTATCAATAGTTACACAACGTTCGTTATTGATAGGATTTTCAAGCATGAGCTTCTCATTGTAACAATTGTAACACAACGTTCGTTATTGATAAGATTTTCAAGCATGAGCTCCTTATTGTAACAATTGTAACACATCGTTCATAATTGATACGATTTTCAAGCATGGGCTTCTTATTGTAACAACTGTAACAAAAGGTTCATTATTGATCAGATTTTCAAGCATGAGCTTCTTATTGTAACAATTGTAGCACAACGTTCATTATTGATAAGATTTTCAAGCATGAGCTTCTTATTGTAACAACTGTAACACAACGATCATTATTAATAAAATTTTTCAAGCATGAGCTTCTTATTGTAACAACTGTAACACACCGTTCATTATTGATAAGATTTTTAAGCATGAGCTGCTCATTACAACAGTTATAACACAACGTTCATTATTGATAAGAATTTCAAGCATGAGCTTCTCATTGTAACAAATGTATCACAACGTTCATTATTTATAAGATTTTCAAGCATGAGCGTCTCATTGTAACAATTGTAACACAATGTTCATTATTGATAAAATTTTCAAGCATGAGCTTCTCATTTTAACAATTGTAACACAACATTCATTACTGATAGGATTTTCTAGCATGAGCTTCTAATTTTAACAATTGTAACACAACGTTTATTATTGCTAAGATTTTCAAGTATGAGCTTCTTATTGTAACAATTGTAACACAACGTTCATAATTGATAGGATTTTCTAGCATGAGCTTCTAATTTTAACAATTGTAACACAACGTTTATTATTGCTAAGATTTTCAAGCATGAACCTCTTATTGTAACAATTGCAAGACAACGTGCGTTCATGATGTTAACTATACACACTCCATTAGATTGTCTTGAATTAGTAATTTGTCAAAATGTAAGTTAAATCAAACATCGATATTGCCCTTTTCAGAGTTATCTCGAAAAATTTGGTTATATGTCAGCCGCTTAAATGTTGAAATTACATACAACTACTGAGAGGACTACTGCTCTAAAGTAATTTCTGAATAAAATATGACTCGATTTTATCTTATAATATGATAACTAGTAACTTGTAATTCTCCCAGCGGGATTCCACCACTAGCTGTTGAGATGATACATCTTTTTCATTGTTGAATCCACTAGAGACACACCCATAAACTACTGTATTTGAGACGTAAATATTAAGCTGCTTCGAATGATTTTATCACATAGTCTAGAAAAAAATGGGGCAATATCAGGCTGCTTAAAATGATTTTATTAGAATAGCCTTAGAAAACATTGGGCAATATTATATGCTGCTTAGAATTTTTTTTTTATAGCAAAGCCTAAGTATACTCAAAAGAGTTAAATATTTCAAAGAAACGTAAGATGTGGACATTCCTGATTTTCATTGGTTTCTTAAACTACCGTAATATTTAAATCGGAAATACAGGTTTGCAACAGACTGACAGACATATTTACCAATCTTAGCAATTAACTCTTTTTGCAGGTCCTTTTCGGGGTTTAACAATATCGTACTAACTGGCAAAGTAGAACCCAATACAATAAACAAGATGAACACACCCAGGTGTGGCATTCAAGATATGGAACCAAGCGTAAATGGTTTACCTAAATCATTTCAAGTCGGTAATTATATATGATTTTCTCCATACTGTACGAACTAAGATAATAACGCAGTTCCACCCTGTATTAATAATTAATATTAAAATAATTATAGTTAAATGGATAAATAGAACTAGTTAAGCAGAATCTGCTCGTCCTTTAAAAGTACCCAAGTTTTGGCGAAGCACTTTTATTTTATTTGTAATTTGATGCAGATTTTTATATAGATTAGACCGTTAGTTTTCTTGTTTGAATTGTTTTACACTTGTCGATTTGGGCCCTTTATAGCTTTGTGTTCGGTATGAGCCAAGGCCCCGTGTTGAAGGCCGTATTTTTACCTGTAGTTGTTTACTTTTTACACATTGTGACTTGGATTGAGAGTTGTCTCATTGGCACTCATACCACATCTACTTATTTCTATTGTTTATTTGTTTTTGTCATTTATCTTTTAGACTATGCTATGGCTTTGGATTAAGGGAATTGATAGACGGACAGATTGAGAGAGGTCAATCCATCCATCCGTTATCCAACAAAATATCTCGTATTGTTTGTTATCATGAAATCAAAATCATCTTCACCGTTATTTTTGATATTCATAATTGCCGTTTGGCGTAAAAAAAGTTGAAATGGAGAATTACCGAATTCACCAGTCAATTGTCGGATTAAGTTGTTAGGTATACTAAGTAATTATAACATTTATAAATGTCAGGTCTGAAAATCGTCTAAGCTTTTTTGACCTCTTTTGAATTTTTGAAAAGCATGTAAAATCAACTATTAATTGAATTAATTTTTGAATCCATTAAAGATCTACACGTGTAATAGTACTATGGTGTAATGTTATATTTTTTTTTATATTCATTCGATGGAACGTAGAGCCTGGTTTATAAAGCATCTTAAATGTGTAAAAGCTCTGCATTTTAAAGAGCCCATTCATGCTTATTGATGACTATTTTTGTTAAATAGATCTGAACAAGCAAGGGCATTTAAAGCCTTGTATGGCGTGTCAGCTCTGTCCTATACAGAATTCAGTTTCGGGGAGGTTATTAATATCAAATTTGTGACATGTGATCGTACACATTATTACATGTTGTGACATACGAAATTAAGATTAAAGAATAAAATATTAGATAAATGTGAACGCGATAAAATATTATAATAAAGCATTTCTTCACATTTATGAAATATCAAATTTTAATGAGAATGACAAATAGACATATAGGTTCAACTCGTTTTCCTTTCCAACACAAATTCTTCTATGTATTTTGTATAAGCCAAATGTCCAATCTGTCCACAAGGTGAGTTTGAGGTTTTTGATAAAAGTTTCTTCAAATTGGTCAGTAAATCTCTCTCTTTCCTTAATGAAATGTTGTGCTGAAAAATAGAAATAATCCAGTTCATGAACATATATTAAATGGATTATGACGATAAAATAGATATGCAAGGACAACACTTTTAAATAGAAAGGACTGTAATTTCAATTAATGCTTTACATTAATTACATTGTTATGTCTGTACCGCCTACCATGGTGTTCGTGATATTTCCTATTTTTGTGTGTTTTCCCTGTGTTTGCTGTATGTTAGTTACGTTTGTTCACGTCTAAACATCGGGAAGTTTATTCGTATTGGATTTAGTCTTCCAAATGTTTCAATTTTAGTGCCACTGATAAGTTTTAAGTTACAAAACACACGTCTTGTAGCCTGTAGAGTTTGCCGACTGCTCTACATACTTACTGTTAGTATATTCAATAACAATTGCGATTCGTATTCAATACTATGAATTTCATTCTCTTTTATTGTCCTCTGTTTTTTATTCACTTATATAGATATTGAAAGTTAAAAGTTGAAACGCCAGAAAAAACCTGAAGATTAGAACAGGCATTTTCTTAAAAAAAAAGCTTCCAAAAAAGTTAATTGAGTGTATCATATTACCTAGAATGTTTCATTACTCTAACACGTAAAGGCAATTATCTGTTAAAAAGACCAAAATTAGCTTGAAATGCACGGTTACAGATGATTACAATTTAGACACACATTTGTAGAGAGGCGAAGGAAACCAAAGGGAAATTCAAACTTATAAGTCGAAAATTAAATGACAACGCCATGGCTAAAAAAGAAAAGGACAAATAGACAAACAACAGTACACAAAACGCAGCATAAAAACCATAGACTGAGTATCACAAACACCCCAAAAAACTGGGGGTGATCTAAGGTGCTCCGAAAGGGTAAACATATGATGTTCCACATGTGGCACCCGTAATGTTGCTCATGTTGGTAAAAACCCGGTGATACGTCTAATTCAGTAGATCACATTCGGAGAAAAGGGGACAGGACTGTAGTTACTACAATTAGAACAAATCCGTTGTCATTTGTGAAACGGGTATTCCATAACGGTAAACCACATTGTGATGGCGTCCGTTCAATTTACGAAAGGACGATTTCAAAATCACCAATTAGAAATCTTGGTTTAATAGCTTCCTTGTGTGCAGCAGCCCACTATCAAGGAAATCAGGAAAGGAAATACAAGCCCTAGAATATTGTATCAATTGGGAGATATATACTCCGTATGCAGGCGCTGCTGGAATGTTGCTACATAGAAATGGAAAGCGCACAATTGTGAAGCTGAAATCATCTATTTTGTCGTAAAGTTTTGTTTTTCAACTGACCGTCACTGTCAATTTCTAGAAATAAGTTAAGATATTAGGCAGACTTTACTGTTTCTGTTGTATCCTTTATCTCAAGTTTGATGGGATATGTGCGTTGAACATAGACACCAAATCTTTTATTATAAAGTGAGGAGAAAACCAACTATATAGCGGAAATAAAGTTTAAGGATACTGTTAACTTCTTTTCTTTCTTCCAAAGAAGTTCCTGTATGAAGTCAGCCTCATATGAATAAAGGAACAGGTCGGCAAGAAGATGAGCACTACTTGTTCCCATTGGAATGTCGATTGTTTGTTGAACGTAACAAACATATTGTCAACAAAGAAATCAAGCATCTTGGTAATGTCTGTTTCAGAGAAGTTTTTGTTTGAATCATATTGATGTTTTACAAAGTACAAATTATCCCTCATTAAAACAAGAAACTTGTATTTACGTAGGCCATTCATTTTTATGAAACAAAGCAGGACCAACTCTCTCAAATTTGGAATAGGTAAATCAAATGTTTTAATACTATTACAAGATGAACAAGTCTTAGTTGTATGTACTTTAAAACATCTTTTTAAGTATCCACAATTGATTCAAGTCACCTCTAGAATAAGTAGTTTCACAATAACGTTGAAGCCCGACTCTAATTGCTGATAAAATTGCTGATAAGAATTTAGAAAGAGGTTTCGTGAAGCACTTGGAAGAACCAGCAATATAACGTCTCCTGAAAGATCTGCTGATATACATGTACATGTACATTGCAAAACATATCTTTTACTTATTTTTATGTTTTTGTTACCTTGAAAACGACATAAAAAAATCCCTGCCCAACATTTCCGAGCAGAAAATATCAGCAGAAAATTAGGCAGAAATAAACGGATGCTTTCTTTGATCTACATTCTATCCTTTTCGAAAATTAAAGAACCGATAATCCCAAATGGACAAACAGTATAGCCAAAACCAAGCAAGGAATCTGCGCTTTGCATAAGGGAGATATCTTCCTTAATTTGAAATAATTTCTAATAAGTTTATAACAGCAAATTTCAATGACACAATATCCATATTATTCGTATAAAAGACGTTAATTTTGATTACTTATATGTCAGTAACACCAGACGTCGATAAAGAAAACAAAAAGTCTCCTAAATCATGAGACGTGAAACAACAGTTTAGATATCAAATTTTTTCAAGATATAAGGGATATAAACTTTCCTATTACAAAAAATGTACTCGCAAACCGTTTTGTGTGTATATTGGTAGAAAAAGTAGCCAATCCTTGGGTGGTAGTATGAAGTTAATATATAAAGCGGTCAACGATTTTATTACCACATTTCAGCTCAAGGATATTTTATAATTCGTAATAAGTATAAGCTACATTTGTTATCTAGCTACATATCAAAACCTATCAAATATCAAATTCATGTTTGTATCCTTTTGACTAGTTTTCTAATCACAATACGTTTGATCCATATCATTTCCATTACCAAAAATATTCTTTTTCTGTACTTTGATGGAAAGATAACGATTAGAATCAAGCGTATTGAAGATCTAATTTCTAATTTTTGTACTAAATCATATTAAAAATATTGCAATTGATATAAAAAAAACTGTTTTGTTAAATTTTGTGATTTTGTTGAACAAATGACATTTGAAGATGTGCTATTGAATAATTTCCAGTCACTGGATTGGACCATTGCAGTAATTCAGTATCGTGTGAACATTTATCATGGGATTCGTTCACTCAATCTCTAGCTTTCTAGTGATGCTTTTATTTGTTTAAGAGCAAGATGATAGAAATGGTAATGAAACAATATGTCTACCTCTTTAAATGCTGTGTAAACTGCTTTAAATGTTGGTTGATCTTCGTTTTGCATGACACGCCTGGAACCATGTAATACTGACACACCATTTCTTTCTATGTCTTTACATATACTTTTATTCACACAATGATCTGTACGGTAATTCCACTCGCACGAATAAACATATAACTCGTCTGTAAAAAGAGGTGAAAGCATGGCCGATATAACGCAAACAAAACACACTAAAACAATTATCATTTTGATGTGCTCTTGTGCATCATCTGTCAAGTAGTATTTTCGATGATATTAGCATGATTTAAACATGCTAAATTATCAATTTATTGTAAATTTCGGTTTTGTTATTATTATAAATGTTTGGTTTTATCAATTCCGCCAGTAAAAATGAGTTTTGCACCTCGAAATGATATATTTGGTCTTTCATATGTATACAATACTACAATAATATGGCAAATTAATCACATCACATGAACTAAAATGATATACTTAATTTGTGATAACTTGATCTAATTCATTTATCGACTAACTGATTGTTTCATTTGTTGAACGTAAACAAATCTGAATGTTTATAAATCATGCTTTAAATTAATTACCCGGATGATGATCTAGCTAAAAACATATTATCTTGTGAAAAGAAAAAAAAAATGAACTAATTACTCTTATAAATATCTTACTAATTCTGAATCGTTCGAATTATCAAAACATATTTAAGCACTAAAAATACTGGACCAGATGCGCATTCAAATATTTAATGTCCCTTCGGTGATACACAAAAGGAAACGGTAAAACCTTATATCAACGTTGAAAAGTTGAAAAAAAACCAGGAAGAAAAGTAAAAAATAATCAAATGACATATTGATAGGTATGCATTATCAGGTTAAAATCATTTAAATCATTACATGAGAAAAATCATTTCAGACTTTACATGGTAATGGTCCTTTTTATAGCAATCGTTAAGATGTTAAGGTCTGATACCATGATTTAAAGATCCTAATCATTATCACTCTTATCTCGAGATAATTGCCATTCATGATATATTAAAACATTGTTCTGAATATAAGTGAAATCAATGATAAGTATTCTGAAATTTATAAATAAACTATTGCTCTTCAATTTCCGAAAAGATTTGTCTATTTTATGCAGATTGATATTACTCATTTGCTTTATTTTTTCAGTCATGGCGTTTTGTTTGTTTATAATTTAAATTCACAAACAATAAATTACACACTCATATAAGGATTTATGTAATGTTTACTTTAAAGTGGTTCATTGGTTTAAGATTTTTGAACCTAAACTGCCACTAATAAGATGAAAATTGCCATTTAAAGCATGTAGCTAACTCTAATAATAACTGTTTTGGAGTTTGATATAACTTTTGTAGTTTTTGTTTATGGTTTGTCACATTTTGCCATTTTATATTTATATGTTGTATTCCTGGTCATGTATGTCCACCTATTATAGTTTCGAACAAAAAAGTCAAAATTTGTCAATAATCGTAACTGCTAGGCAATGAATTATAAAAAAAAACCCTGCAAATTTGGTGAAGGGTATGTTGGTTTTTACTTTTTGAACAATCTGCCTTGTTAAATGTTATGTTTCTAACTAGATTTCATGATGTTAAACTTTTTCTTGTATTTAACTCTAATACTTTAATCTTAACCATAGCGACTACCTTGGGCGGCTTAGAGACACTCAAGGACTTAACTATCATCTAGACACACTGAGAATCAAATAAGTCAAATTACTTGTCATTAGTTCTGAGGTTTTGAAAACTTTACAAACAACTAAGGGACAACGATAGAGGAACGACAAATGAAAGCAAGGTTCACAGTTGAATTTGGCCAATATTGAACATATGGATAATTATATACACATTCCGTACGCATGGCGTGAAATGGTTCTTGTTGGTAAATGTCCAAATTGAATGATCATGATTGTAATTGATTTTGTATCTATGAACTTGTTAAATGAATGTGTTACCTTTAACAACCCACAATAACATAGAATCACCTTATCTAACAGTTCAACACAACCATGACAACGCTGGCGACAGTGCTGTCTGACTAAATACAATTGTTTGTAAGTTACAACTATTGTAAACTAATCAATTTGAGTTATTAAATCAATTATAAGGGACGGGTTAGCTGCTTTTAATATAAGACAATATAAGTGTATGATGACATTCATTCCAGACATATTTGCTGTGTGCACCTGCATTGTCTCATAGGTACTCACCTATATGATGATAAAAATATATATTAAGTAGATCCTGGTCGCCATATCTTATTATTGGCTTGTACTGGATATAATACTTCACCATGGAGTCTATCCATGTAGATTTCCTTATTCTAGTAAGATTCATAAGTAGCACTCCTGAATTGAGACCTAACAAATTTAAATGAAAATTAAAATTCAAGCAAGATGTCATTTCATACAGTATAGGTCAAATACTATGTTAAAAGTATGTTTACTTTTAGTTTTGTGTTAAGTATGTTAGTGAGTATTGCCTGTCATATAACAGCATTTTTGTTTTTGTTTTGTATTTGCGCTATACATATGTGCTTTATGTGTTTTTCTCTCAGGCAAATTATGCCACGAAAGCATTTAGAGGTTTTGTTATTAATATTTGTCTAAGGGTCAACACCTTACCAAAAAACGAAATTTGTACACAGTGTCTTATTCAGGGATCGTAATGTACTATGTTGAATATCTTTTTTTGTAAGGTTTTTTCTCAAATGTTATTGTTCAAAAGTATTGTGCATACAAATCATCTTTGTTACAATGTAAACAATTCAACACCAAAGGTTCCGCAGACAACTAAAGTACAAAAGGCAGTACCTACAAGTCCAAGTCAGAGACGGACAGATATCTTATCAAAGGGTTCAAATAATACTGTCTTTTGTCACTGATGAGTCCTTTAATCATTAATTTAAAATCTAAAGATGTAAAATATAGCTGCAAAAAGCACAGACATGTTCTCACCAAACACGTTGGCGGAGAATCCCCGTACTTAAAAACTGTATTCATTAATCCGACATAAGATTACCTATGTTCAAACAATAGTGGCGCTCTGACAAAACAGATGCAAAGCTCAAATAAATATTGCGAAGTTTGAGAACGAAAAATCCGAAAATGGTGCCAAAGAAGGCTAAACAAATCCAACCCTTGAGTAGAAAACTTACCGTGTTGAATATTTCACATTTAGAGACAGTTCATTTACAGAAAAATAAAATTTCAATGACATTTCATGTCAGCACAAAAGTGCTGATTTCTTGACTGGTGATACTCTTACATTAAGGACGATCCATTCATATAACGACTATACGTTATTTAGACTGTTATCAACTAACTTTATATCTTAAAAATATCAGTTTCTTTTCAGTTTGCTAACAATCACAAACCTTTACTGTGGCATACTACCACCTAGAATGATTTTGAACTAAATGTATCTTGTTTTGTTGCTATCTTACCTGATTCACCATAGTAAGGATGTCTAGCAAATCTATAGTTACTAGCAGCTTTATCTTCATGTTCAGGTACTAAAGCAGCTAATTGTGCACTGTTAAACTGATCAAAAAATCTCCAAATATCATCAACAGGTCGTAGAAATAATATATCTGTGTCAACATACAATAAACTATCCACGTCTTTTAACAACGACTGAAACAATGGGATCATAAGTTGGTTTAGGATGCCTTTTACATTTCTTCAAATTTTTTTACAAACAACAGGACTGTACTATAGCATTCGCTTCTTTTCTTTAGAGATATTTATGGTAAACAATTGTTCAACTCATGCTATGTCGGAGCTGGCACAATGTGAGTAAAGCTACAAACATGACCATCCTGTCAAATCCATTAACTACACACACAGTTTACTTCATTTGGTTATATATTAACATTTTATTTTGTAAAATGAGTGATACATCAAAACTTTAATACACATTGGTGGGATGCCCACCATTTGTTGGGAAAGTACAATATACGAAAGCTATTATGTAAGACTAATTTATTTGTCTTTCGATGGTGAATGGGTGACAGGTGATTTGACACGATGCGTGTAATTTAATTCACCACACAAATCAAAACTCAAAACAATAAACTACTGCCTCAGTGAACCATGTAGAACATAGTACGTATACAATCACAAACAAATCAGATTATAAACTTGAAAACATTATAAAAGAAAGAGTGAAGAAAAGATATACATGAATAGTTGTCAGAAATAGAAATGCTAATTTTTGACAGTTCATGGAGCACTTTGACGTGTTTATTGTACGTCCAACGTTTCAATGGGTTAAATTATGTTTGACTTTTTTAAGGGGGTTGGGTCGTTTTTTGAAAAGGAGTTATCTAGATCTGCAATAAAAACTTCTGAGTATTTGTGATGACTATGGCGATAGGTGTATTTTCAGCTAAGCAAGCTTTATACTGTAGTAGACAGACAGCTTTCCTTGTTTTCGTGTATGAATACACTTCATCATTTTTCATACTTATTAATCATTTTATTTTCGCGGATATTTTATTACGCGTTAAATCCCTTATAGCCGAGTTCGCGTTGATATTCATTTTGCCATTAAGAAATATTTAACTACAAGATATAAACAAAACATATTTATTTTATGTTCAATCGTTTATGAAAGTGAAATAGTGAAATAATAATTCGCCTTAAGCAGCCAGTTTGGTTTACATTTGACAAAATAAGCTGAGAAACATCGCTTATGAAAAATATACTTGCAAGGGAATAATTCGATTACATTGAATCCGCATTAATGTAACCATCTATTTAACCCCACGGCTAGAGATGCGTTACGCACAATCTAGACGTGTTCAGCTACCAAAATGAAAAAAGAATGTCAACATTGGAAGTTAAAAACAAGGGTAAACCATTTGATTTACCGATTCTATTCTTGTAAACTCTTTCTTATACAGGTAAAAACGATGATTAACATATTTGTTTAACCAATTAAATGAAATCAAACAACCTAGAAAAATCAAATTGCACGTGTTTGTTATCTATTTATATCTATATTTATGTTTATATCCGGTTATATGACCGTCGGAAGTGTCCGGAGGTCACCTCGATGGCTAATTAGATGGTGTCTAGACTAAAATACACACGAATTGTTAATACACAAATAATTGTTAATCGACTCCGTGCAATGTTTATTGTTTATTTTAAACTTTTTAGAATTTGGATAAACGTTTCAGTATGTTGAAAATCATATATGTGAATTTGAGTCAAATAGGTGAATATGAATTTGACAGCTTATGTCCCTTTAAGTTTTAGATACCCGCGACGATTTATATTTGCCTTTATGTTTCTACTCGCGAAAGTCGCCAAATAAATTAGTTTATCAGTGTTTTGTTGAATCTTAAAGCTACAAAGTGTAATTTTTAACATTGCATATCTATTACAAATATAAATAATAAAAAAAACTTTTTTAAAGAAAAAAACGTGCAACAATCACTAAATGGTACACCCCTGCGTCTTGATGAACAATCACTACCTTTTCGCCTTGCTTGATTTTCTCTTCTGTCTTTCTATTTTACTTACAGGTATAAAAAGTCTTTGAGTTGCACATGGTTTAAACATTTTTTTCCATTCTTGTGGGTTTCCGGTCGGGAATGTTACATTATACAAATAATACAGAAATTTACGCTTGTATTTTGCTGGCCAATTATCTAACTGCAAGACAAAAATAGTATTTTAAAGTGGGTAACGAACAGCAAAGTAAATTTGATTTGTTTTCTAAGTGGACAATTATAATGTATTATCATGATTTTAGTATTACTTTTATTCACAATCTATTGAAAATGTACCCGGCACCATGATATAATGAGATAAATTCAATTCATGTCTAATTTATAATCAGCTGATCAAACAGAAATTCTTAAAGGACTGAATGTAATATTTTTTCTGTCTATGAAGAAATAACATCAACACTGTGGTTCGCACCGAATAACCCGCGTATTGGGTTATTGAAAGGTATGCACCACATTTTTGAACTTTTTCTGTATATAGAGAAATAACATCAAAAATGTTGTGCACACTGAATAACCCTTAAATTTGTGCATTACATCTTTAAGGTCATTCCTTATACTTAGATTCTAAATTCCATTTTTAAGGAGTGAATCATGAATAAAACGTTGATGACGTCACGGGCAAATGACAACACAGCTGATTTTAACAAAAACTCTCAACCAATCAGAAGACATGTTTCATCCAAAATCATAACCATATAAATGAAGGCGAAGGATGTATCAATACTAAAGTAGCTATTTGATAAAAAGGAAACCGAAGTAGACAAGTTTTGAACGACGGCGATAAAACCTTAATCTATAAACAATTCTAAATTTATCAAGGGAAAATTACGAAATTATTATAAATCTAGCCAATTGTATTGGGCTGATTATACCCATTGGGACAAACAGTTCATTATTAACTGCATGCACCAATTGCTAGTAAACAAAAACAACACTTTTTAAAATTGTTGTTTATTAGAAGCGTTTTCTTGATTTTTTTCAGAAACACATAAATCTGAGTAAATAAATTCCGGATATACATTTAAACTTTAGACGCTTCATTACACAAATGACATAGTTAGAATAGCCTAATAGCTTAATAGGTATGCGTCTGCATGCCATCAATGCTAACATATACCTGCAAAATACCTGTTTTACATATAGTCAATTTAATATGCTACAATAACAATTTATCATGTTATATTCTCGTTTGTATGTATTCCCGGTATACATTTATGTTTTTAAATATATGAAGTGCTAATTCATGAGTAGACAGGTTCTTTATTTTGTGATTTTATACTGATTGCAAAACCAATTATCATTAGGTTGTGTTTCAGCTTTCTGTACATATCTCTTATTATTACCTTACGGTTGTGTTCTGATTTTTACTCTACAACTTTGATTTTATTTTGTATTTTGATTTTTCAAAATATTGATAAAATATTAGGAACATAATATTGAAGAGTTTCTTTGCGCTTTTTAAACCGATTAAGTTGAAATGAACGGTATTACTTTTAATGATATACATACATTATAATGTTTGTGTGGCCCATGCGCTTTTTTTTAATATTTTTTATATAAGGATTGCAAAAATCAACATATTTAACGCCAAGGGTCTATAACAACCTGCATACTGTACATCTGTAAAAGGCCTTTAACCAAACGAAAATTAAAAAAAATAGTCCAAAGCCATATAAAGTCAACAATACTTGAGTGTGTTACAGTAATCACCAAATATATTTTACTTGAGCATTACTACTTTGTAACCATCAATGGCATCGACATATTTCCCCATTGTTCATATCCATCCCCAACAAGAATACGTTTTCTCACCTTTTGCTTAAACATAGGTTGAAAATCAAATTCTGCAAATATATGAAAGATTAACGGCCCAGTTGTAAACAACACAGCTGATTTTAACAAAACAATCGTTTCTTCTGCTCTATCACCACATGCCACTACAGACAAGTGTATACCATTTTTCCAATGCCTTGAATATCTTAAAAAGAGTAATAAGATGTTGGCTTCCTCGTGTTTATCGGGTACAAATCATTTTTTTTTATAATTGAGTTTGTGTACCATTTATCATGCTATTTCAGGAATTCTTTTTTTATATATGACAATATGAAACAAATGTAACCAGAAAACAGTAAAATCTCAAAATATTGGTGCATTGCAATTCATTTTAGTGCATTCGATTGAATTTGAATTTGGTCAGTGCTGTTAAACATAGATAAATCTTGATAAAATAAAATCCCTTGGACACAAAATTATTGTCATTTAGAAAATCGTTTCACGTTCTCTTTTGAAGTCATTTAAATGTGTTAAATAATTGCACAAAGACATAAAATTAAGATTAGAAATAGTCAATCATGTTTGTCCAATGAAATTATATATAATGAGTTCCCTGCTTCTGAATCATGTTTATATATAAGGATTTTCGGTTTTTTAAAAACAATTTTTTATCATCGAAATGAAAATTCAACACATTTAACTTGTCGCAATTGTTTTTGCAATTGATTGAATAGCCATGATGAATAAGTTCGTAATAAACCTAAACATTGTTGTCTACACTAGTAAACGTGTTACTTATGACAAATTACATTATGAAATGGAGAATTGTTTAAGAAAAAAACATAGACAGCATTATGGATGTATTGAACTGACACATACTAAGGCACTTAAAACTAGTTTTAATCTATCATATCCTACTATCTGTTTTGATTTCATTATTTCTTTTAAGTTTGCATCATATATTTTCTAAAGGAGAGAGAAAAAAGATAGAAATTATGTATTTTTTTAAACCACCAATTAAAAAGTGCCCGTGTCTTCTATTTTGATTGACAAGGATTGCCGGTTTTCATGTCAAAGTTCGGTGGCTCTCTCTGGACACTTAGTCGTCCAGTACCAATAAAACCGCCTCGAAATAACCATTAGTCCTGAAATTGGCGTTAAAACACCAAAAGGTTAATTAATCCAATTTAAACGAATATTGGATGAGATTCAATATTTATTATTTGGCATCATAAACTCAATACCTTGGCCTATTCGTATCCTTTCCATGTCTATCATCTTCGTGTATTTTAGATTCTTGATTTAGGTTATTATCTTCTTCCTCCCCTGCTAAACTGATATTTAAAGACTTTTCATTCTGAATGAAATAGTACAGATACACAGCAACCAGAAGAACAGCTGTTATCCCAAAAGTAATTTTCTTTTTCCTTTTCATTTGTGTACCATCTGAAAAAAAAAAACAAAAAAAACAAAAACCATATCATTTCAAATCCAATGGTTAATTTTCCTTTCCTAAATGGTGATGTTGCATTGATTTCTTTTTATGGAGTGTCAATACGTTTTTGATGAGCTCATATTTGCGGGAATATTTCAGATTTCAGAGATTTGTCTTTTAATATCACCAACGATTTTAATTAAATGCCATATAATAAAGCTGTCAAAACTATTACAAAGTTTATGAAAATAACGGGATTTATATTAGAAATATCATTTTATTTGAAGGGACAGCAGAAAGTGGTATTTCATACCAAGTATTGTATTGCAAAACATACTTATGTATTTAATATGTAAGTCATAAAATTTTCCCAACAATAATTTGTTTTTGCTTATTTGAGACGGTACACTATTATTATTTTAAAAATGAACCTAGCATCTTTCTCATAACTCTGTTGGAGAAGTTCATATGTAAGGAGCACACCCTCGCTAATGTATAATATTGTGTAAACATTTTTTTTTTATCTAATGAAACAACTATACTAATTACTATCGAATGTTGCACAATCTAGTGTTTTCCTGTACTGTTCAATTAAGATTGATGTAGAGAATATACACATTCCTGATGTTGCAAACTAGTTTGTAAGATGGCATGATATTTGTTTCAGGGAGGTTAAGTACTTTTGATGTGCAATCTCATCCAACCCAGGCTTTCAGAAAGTCCGAGGTTGTGGTTTCTTTATTCTCTTCTTCACGACACACATATTGTCGTTCCACCAGTTCATGTCTCAAACAATATTGTTTTAAAAGCAAAAATATTTGTTTGGAATGGTTTTCAAAAAACTTGGTATTGACTGTATCAGTGACGTCAATCAAATGAGACAAAATAGAACATTAATTCAAGTTCAATAACATATCTTTATGATCATTTATCGGTTATATTCAAATATTCTATCCATCCTTTGTTATCAATAACCAACAATTCGTACTATGCGTTTCAAAAAATGAATATTCAGATTTTGGTAATTGAATAAATGTATCTTCAAAGTCTTTGATGCACATCTGGCTTTTATATTCTATTTTATTTCATTTGATACCAGTCTTTAAATCATCAAAAGTGTACTCTTATATAAAATTTGATTTCGAAAAAAAATTGAAGGTGTTTTGTTCATACTTTTAGGGAATTTTGAAGCCAGATCGTAATATTTAATGAATATTATTGATTTGTATTCATTCTTGAGTTTTGCATTCTTGTGTTAATAATCTCTGTGCCTTTTCTGGGCGAATTGTTTGTATATTCATATGCGGCCGACTTCATATGAAAGCTGATAAGGACAAATGAAGAGAAGTAACATCAACACACATTTGATATAATCCAAGCATATCATCGATAATGTCATTTATATATACCAAGATTAAACTGCTGTAACCATAACGTATAATTATTACTTTAATTCGTACGATTAGTACTAAGATGCTAACAATTAGTACTAAATTATTTTCTACATAAAGAAATGCCTGTTCCAAGCCAGGAATATGACAGTTGTTTTCCATTCGTTTGATGTGTTAGAGCTTTTGATTTTGCCATTTGATAAAGGATTTTCCGTTTTGAAATTTTCCTCGGAGTTCGGTATTTTGTTATTTGACTTTTTTGTTTTAAATTAGTACTTATATGCATATAATTAGAACTTAGATGCAAACGTCTTTTTATTTGTTAATTGAACCCTTTAATACATATTGATCGCACACCAACATACTTTTTTCAATATAGATGTCACAATTCTACCATTTATGTATCTTGGAATCTCAAAAATAACGTCTTGTCTCATTTATCGATTAGATAGATAAATGCATTGTGATCAAATTGATCTAGATATGAGAAATTATCTTCTTTTCCCTTTGATAACTCCCAATGAAAGTCATGCATACACTGACGATTATTGAGTGCACGACGCGTTAAAAGTGTAATGTTTAAGAATCGTTTTTAACATTAGCTGTGACAATTAGATGATTAAATGATTCCAAGATTGTGCTTGAGACCATTAATGACAAAATTAATCGTGAAATCGTAGGAATGCTCGAATCTTTTAAATCAATTGATAACGGTTTGCTGATACATTAAGTTCTTTCATTTAAACCAAGAGATGATTTAGAGAATTTATGAGTTGATTAACAATCAATACTAAAAAAATAACAAGAAATATGGATTTGTGTTCGATTATAGGCTATTTCAGGGAAAAAAATAAACAAGTCAGCAAGGAAAAGCATACAAAATAAAATGTATCAGACAAGAAATTATCTTTGACACGTGTAACTATTAGAAATTGATCACACAATTCCCTCCATGTGAATTCAATCTTATGTATCGAGGTAGTGCTTGACAAATAATAGGCGCGGAAGATACGAAAGAAATCAAAGATAGACGACCGATCCAACCGTGGAAAAACGGAAAACGCCGTACAAAATACTACAGAAAAAACTTAAATACTTGTAGGTACATGGACATTTTTAAAAATGGACTGATAAGAATGGAGGCCGAGCATTCTGGACTACGCATTGGACTGGACGATAAGGGTAACACAACGCGGTGAAATATTTTGATTACTGCATTGATAAATTCTTTTTTGGACCATTCATATTAGTAACAAAAATATATTTAATGCCAATTCAGTTAAAATAAAATCATAAACATGGCGATTGAGGATATGATATTATTACAAGACTAATCTTCAATAATTATATATATATGATCCAGATCAGAAGCCATTCTAAAGACATTTGTCATAATGGTCCAGAATAATATGTAGCCAACTATGTGTACACAGCGGAATTCAATGTTTTAACGCAAGAGATGTTTTTTTTGTATTAATTCGATTGCCATAATTTCAACTTTCAAAATCACAGATAATGAAGAAATAGGACATCCTTGTCGAATTCTATGACATATTTTGAAATAGATGGTAACTGCAAACCAAACCATTATTTAGTACAAAATGTATACATCCTTCAATGTATGGGTTAATTGTTTAAATCCTTCTAATAAAACTACTTTTAAAGCATAATTCTTTCCAAAGTTTCTGACATAAAATTCCAGAAAAGTCAAATGCCTTGGAAAAATAAACAACAAGTATAGGTACGTCTATTTTAAAGTTCTCCGAGTAATACCTGACATTTTGTATTTGCCTAAGATTGAAATCTATGCATCTATGTTTTTTTCAAACTTTTGTGGTCAGGATGAATGATTTTTGGTAGAACTAGTTTAAATGTTTGATCTAGTGCATACACTTACGCTGATAAGTTTACATCGTTATTGGACGATAATTATTTAGAGAAAGTCGGTCTGCCTTTTATATATCATTGATATTTCCTCGACTTTTTGTAAATTGACAAATCCCCCTTTTCATAGTAGAAATAAAAAACAGATACAACGATATTATTTGTATTTCAAAATTTTCTGTGAAACTCAACATCGAGTCAATCTAAACATGGAACTATCTTCAATTTCATTTCATCTATACATTTCTGCACAATAGTTTCTTCCTTCATATAAATTACGTTCACTGCCACTTACTTTTGGGCATTATTTAATATTGTTCAAGTACTTCATAGTGTTTTAGATATCATGATTAGTAGACTATGTACATTTTTGTAATTGTTAACTTCAAGATTAAGTATTTTTCTTGATAGTAATTATATAATTGTTTACATCATACATTTAAGTAATATCTTTTGGCACATCCTGACTGTTTTAAGACCTAAGCATTTAGACGTATTTGTTTCTCTATCTTCAATTCATTATACCCTTAATGTTATTTGATTACCTTGTTTTTTCCAGGTACAGATTTCCTAATTCCTTTTCTACTTTCTTTATTTTGACACTCATGTAAATATTTGTTCATGTCCCTGTTGTTAGTTGTATGAATTTCATTATTAATTTGTGTTAACTGATTTTCCAGTACAATGATTGAATCTTTTTTATTGCGTGCTTTGAATCGACAGAACTTAATTGTTCAGTCTCGAACCTCTAATATCTAGATTTATTTAATCGTTTGCTTTTATTTTATAATTGTTATTAATACTTGATGTTATTTGTAGTTATTATTATCGTCTGAAACAGTACTATTTGATTTCCAGTATCCACGTCCTTTATATTAATTTCTTGACATTTATAGATATAAAGATATTTAATTATGGTCTATATATTGATTAACAATTGGTATAATATTTTAATAGTAAATGGAAAAATTTGATAAAATCTTAATACTCTTTATGTTTATGTATGCGAATATTACGTAATTCAAAACATTATACAATTTAAAGAAAATACAAAACATCTGCTGTTAAGAATATAATACAATACCCATTAGCTGATGGCCACCATATATAACTATAGGCATTTACACATTTTTGTTGCTGTTTTGTTATGAAGGAATGCATGCAGACTCTTATTTTTCTGATAAAAATAAAATTATATTGATTATCGTTTTTTTTCCTTTTTTTATTAAGATTTCTCCCCTCCCCCCCCCTCCCCCTTTCTTAAGGAATCAACAATGACTGGTACATATCAATGTAATCTGCATGTGCGTTTGTAGATTCAGATTCATTTGTTGATGAAGGTGCAACTGTGTGACATGGTTGTTGTGTAGCAGCATCAGTATCTACTTTAGTTTTTTCAGCAGCAAATGTGTTCTCCTTTTCGTCATTTGTGCTTTCACCTACATAAGACTAAAAGATGGTCTCATTTTCTATACCGTGACTTTATCACCTTCCATACCACAATATCCACATACCAAGTCATGTGAGCATTTGGGCAAACACTTATATGGTGGCCATCAGTTAAGCATTTTGAACACCTTTTTTGGACGACTGTGTTCCATTGCTTGATCTCGGTACATAACTGTGGCTCTGTATTTGCATATCTGTATAGAATGAGGACTATGATTAGGTACATGTAAGGGGCCCACACATATACAAATTCTATCGCCTGTTTGACAGTTAGTGCGCATCTTCTCAAATCTCAGACTTTCCTAAAGTTGATTAAGATTACACAACACCCTATTGCTAGTTAGATGTGACCGTCATCGGCAGAAAGAGAGACATCTGTCACTCGTAGTCGTAGAATGTTATAGTTTTCATGTATAGTAAACCGAGTGTTCCTCGAGCAGAAATTAATGTTTGTCTTTAAGTTCTTGATTTTTGTACATGTTAATTTTCGTTAACATGGTTAAAAAGATTGTTTTGTTGTAACTCAATCTGTGAGTGATCCAAATGCATATGTTTCACGTACAAAGACAGGTTTCACTCAACCATTGTGCAAGCGTCTTACTTACTGTTCTTGAATCTGTTACGGTTGTGTCGGCATACTACGCAATTTTTCTTTCAACTTAGCATTCTTTATATATGTTATAATATTTTATAGGTATATTGATCTAATATCCACCCGTTTATAGTATGGAACATATTTCCGACCTAATAATTTAATACCTATAAAATACCAGAAATCAACGTAAAAAATACCATGAATAAAATTAATGAAATTGTATACAACATGAACAAAGAAAACTACTTAGACGAAATAACATTCAAATACATCAAATACGGAAACCAATATATAAAAACATCCTTTGCCTACTTTCTGCCTAAATCGAAATACTGGATAACGAAATACTGCCAGACATTTATGAAAAACAAACTGAAATTAAATCCAAGTACCAGCAAAAAATCGGACGATATTTGGATTTCTTCTTATTACCTATAGTTAAAACACAAACGACTTATATATCTGATACAGGTAGCTTTATTCGTCTACTTGAAATATCAAAGATAGAAACCGATACTCTACTGGTGACTTATGATATCACTTCCCTTTACACAAATCAAAGATGTAGTGAAATTATGGACGCTTTAAACAGTGCCACGGAGATATATGAAACTTAGAATACAATATAATAAAACCTAGTTTTACTATTTACTACAAATAAAAAACATAATCCTCGTCAAAAATGAATTTGCCTTCATCAAAAAATGTTATAGGTAAATTATAGGAGCTAGCCAAGGACATATGGCAAGTTCTCAAATCTCAGATATAGCCATATATCAACATATAAATACAATTCTAAATATTTTTCATCACAAAAACAAAATATTATTTCATAAACGTATGAAATATGATGGGTATATTTTATTTCAAGGCACTGAGGAAGAAGTAAAACTTCTTTTCGAAATAACTAACACAAACCATAACCTACAGCAATTTACTTTTGAAATTGACAGACAAAGTTTGAAAGTTCTATATTTAGAAACATATAAAGGACAGAGATTTCGAAACGAAAATATCTTAGATACTAAATGCTTCACAAAACCAACTGAAAAATTCAATATCTTCACCAAGATTCAAACCATGCTAAAAGTTGTTTTAAATCCTTTATTAAAGGTGAAAGAAGACGAATTCTAAGAAATACTTCTGATCCTGAGGAGTTTAATGAAAGAATAAACTTACTTATAGACAAATTGTTACAGAGAGGCTATAAAGACGCTTTTGTGAATAAAATATTACGAAATATGTCTCATACAAAAAGATTAAACAAAGAAACAAACAAAGAAACAAACATTAAAAACAAAAAACAAAAACACAGATAACTATAATATCTCTTTCATAACACAATACCACGCTAATGCGGAAAATTTACAAACCATTATTAAAAAACATTGGCATATAATTCAAGACAACCCACAGTTCAAAAATCTCTTTGATAAAAAGCCTACAATAGCATTCAAAAGAAACAGGAACATTGGAGAAATCGTTAATAAACACTTAAAATAATCAATGTCGTCTAATAGAAATTAATTAGACAGTTGCAATAAAACTAAAGGAAGTTACGCCGACAATAAAAAATGCATACTGAAACGTATTGAAAACTAAATCTAATTACACAAATTAGTAATCCATACTTGAATAAAACGTACAACAAATAATAAAACGTACAATAATTAATATATAAAGAATAAAAAAAACAATAAGGACGACCTCCGAAGAGAGTTACCTGGAATATAATTCCGAAAGAACTCGAAACATTGTACACATAGCAAGGAATCAATGTTAGGTCGGAAATGTGATCCATACTATCAACGAGTGGATATTGGATCAATATACCTATAATTTATACATGTTATAACATTTTGCCATTTTACTATTAATTAATGTATAATCTCTTCCATGTATTCATCGACCTGAAATAATAAAGTTATCACTAAATCAAAAGTAAAGTAAAATATAATACTTACTTAATATTATTCAGATTTGTTATTGAGTAATGTCCTCAAGATGATTAGATATTTGCTTACGTAGCTTATCAAAATATTTGTCAAGCAAGTATAACACTTTACTTTGCAACTATCTTTAATCGATTTCAAAATCGGTTAAATATGAATTTCACAATATTTGCGCCGCATGAATTGATATGTAGGTTAAAAATTATTATTTAAACAAAAAAATGAATATTTTAAATCCTTGTCTGCATCAATGATTTAATTACAGTTCTTTCATCTCTAAAATTAATTCACCATGTACATTGTATAATATTTGAAATAAAATCATGCAAAGTATGTGTTACGCATTGATTTCGAGGTACATCCATAAGTGCATAATCTAAGTCAAATGAATATTTGTTTTTCATTTATTGTTTTGTACATTTATCAGGCCGTTTGTTTTCTCGTTTTCTTGTTTGAATGGTTTTACATTTGTCATTGCAGGGCCTTTTATAGCTTACTATGCGGCATGGGTTTTGTTCTTTGTTTAAGGCCGTACGGTGACCAATAGTTGTGAACTGATACGTCCATTGGTGTCTGGTTGAGTCTGCACAAATGAAATGGTCGTAAGTATATTTTCAAGAGTGATTATTGGGACAACCTTTCTAATTTAATAAAAAAAAACTCTAGTATACAAAACTTAATTGTTATATCTGGATCCCAAAACTGACTAACATCGTTCAAGAATACATTTAGTTCAATGTCCATATGTACGGCTAATCGTTATCTTTGAAATGTTATTTATTTATAAATTCTTGTCTACAATCGGAATATGAAGGACAAAGTAATTAAAGATGCAAAATATAAATATGAAGAGATGTGGCATTATTACCAATGTGACAATAGGTCACCAAATACTAAAGATCAAGAATGTAAGTAACTACAGCTCACTGCAAGGCCTTCAACGATGAGTAAATTCCATGCCATATAGGGAAAACAATATACGGTAATATGAAAAAACAATGTAAAAAAATTCATAATTATGTCAGACTGCAAACACCGACAACCCCTGGACAACAATGCCAGGTTTTGAACAGACACATAACGTATGACGCGGGGTAAGACATTAGGTTGCAACCTGATGCCTTGCCTGGAACAATGGTTTAGGAGAATAACAAAGTTCTGGTCTCAATGTTTTGTTTTCAGTGCATTGTTCTTTTATTGCTGTTTGTCATTTCTTCGTTTTTGTTTTTGACCATGGTGTTATAGATTTGTATTAGTTAAATGTTTGTGGCCTGCTTAGTATTTCACTTTTTAGGAATGAAAGATTAAGAATTTTAAAAATAAGTATTTAGACCAATTATTTGTACATACACTTCAATAACATTTACAGGCTAACAAAAGTTCTTTATTAAAAATCGTGCAAAAGGCATTTCAGAAATCATGTTACTATATATAACTATTTTTTTATCATTTAATTAGAATTAAATGTTATTTTATTGGTTCATTTTTATTATAGATTTAATCAAAATACCTGTAATCAGATTCTGCACTGGAACCTCTAGTTGATATCTCTAAATGTTATTCAATATATTCTATAAATATAAACATATTTTGTCTAAGTTTTTCCACCACACAACTTAAGAACATATGTTACGAGTTTGCGTTTAAAAGCAAATCTAATTAAAATTTATAATGTTGATATTATGTATTGATACATACCGATAGATAACGGGAAATATTTATTTTTCACTTTTCCTTTTCTCAAATATCGGATAAGTGTATCAATGTTTATCACCCTTTACGTTTATTTTTTTATTTGACAAGTTAGATATATACAACATCAATAGTGTCAACACATGGTGGTTGTTTTGAAAATGAGAGGCGAAAGATACCGAAGGGAATTCAAACTCACAGGAAAAAATAACTGACAACGCCATGGCTAAAAGAAGAAAAAGACAAGCAGACAAACAACAGTACACAAAACACAACATAGAAAATTAAAAACTGAGCAACACGAGCCCCACATAAAATAGGGGTGATATCGGGTGTTTCGGAGGGGTAAGCGGATCCTGCTCCACGTGTGGCACCCGTCGTGTTGCTAATTTCAGTACAAACCCGGTGATAAGTCTAATTCGATAGGTCACACTCGGAGAAAAGTGGACGGGATTGTAGTTACGACAATTGGAACATATTCATTGTCATCTGTGAAACGTATATTCCATAACGATCAACCAGCACGTGATGGCGTCCGTAAAATGGTATTATCTATATTTGAAGATAATTCAAGTATAAGGTAACTTGAATACATTCAAACAGGCTAACTCATACTATTTCTCTGTTTTTCCTTTTCAATTTAACTGTACATGCTCTTGCATATTCTTATATTAGTTGGAGTTATTGGTCCTTCAGTTCTTAAAAGAATGTCTATAGGTATATTATTATTGAGAGATTTGAATATGCCTGTATTGCTGAAATTACCTCACTATAAAAAAGAAAATGTGACTTAATTTTATAGATATTTTGGCATTGTTTAAAAGTCATGAGATTATCCTCATAACTTACAGATCATGTATCAAAAAGATCCCTTTATCTGCTATTCTTTATAGAAAATAGAATCTGTTTCTTTTTTAATATTCTAATTGTTCATAAAGAGAATTTTGTACATACTCTTCTTCATTTTTTTTTGTACAAGTTTATTTTGTAATTCTGTTCAAGCCTTATCGACCCCTTCCGGAAAGAGTTTTTTACATTTGTTTGTCCCGCCCAGATATGCAAGGCCTTCAATATTTATTTTTAGTATTTCCTAATAGTTTATTCAGTTTTGGGTTATTTTTTCAACCGTCGAATCCATGTTGATTTCATCCATTTAATATATTTGTCAAGATCTAACATTTTCAGCCCTCCGAATATATATGCAAGACATAGTATTTCTATTTTTATTTTGTCAAGTTGTTTTTCCAAATATATTAAAAAAAAAAAGAAAAATTCTATCCATAAGTTGTCTTTATGAATTTTTGCATGATGCTTGTGATGTTGAAACAGATTGATAAGTTTTGAAATAATAAGTGTCTTGATGATTGCTTTTTTTCTAAATCATGTAACTGGTGTTAATGTTTGTTTATACGACAATTTTATCATATTTTATTTTTTTTAAATTCCCAGATAATAATTCAAAAATCCATTTCATGCAAATTGACTGAATAGCTAATACCTAGTAGTGTTAAGTAACCTACTTTAAACCCATTCCAACTCCAAATTTACACACACTGTGTCCTTACTATATTTCTTTTTGCCTATCCAAACTATCGTTGTTTTGTCAAGGTTCATATGGATACCAGAAATTTCAGCATGTTTTTGCAGTTAGCGAAGAGATGCGTCAATAGATTTTGGTGTACCGTCAAGTATTATTGATATGTCATCTGCGTATTGGGAAATTAAACATTGTGTATCATCAAATTCAATTCCTTTAACATGTTTAATTTCTTTGTATTTTTCTATTACGATTCCTAAAATTTCAACACACGTAAGAAATATTAATCTGACTGGACAGTTTTGAGGAACTGCTGAACTAATATTTGTGTAAAAGGTGTTTTCTCTAATATTTCTACAAGAAATTAAACCTGTCTGATCTTTGTTAATAATCATTGGTAAAACAGATTATCTACGCTCTGCTATACAGTTTGATAATAGTTTATATGTAGTTTTTGATAAACTAATGCATCTCCAGTTTTTCATGAACTGTCTAGGTTTATCGCCTTGATAAACAAGTTATTGACAATTCAACCCTTTTATAACCATAAATTATTGATCTGAATATACAAATGTTCCTACATTTGTCCAAACGAATTGAAAGATTCTTTTTGTAAAGCCATCCGATCCAGGGCTTTTCTCATTTTTCATTTTTTTGCAAAACTGTTGTCAATTCATTATAAGTTATTTATTTATTCCTTCAAATATGCTTTTAATGTACCATTTAACGTTTGAATATCATTATCTAGAATTGCGCTATCAGTATTTACAGTATTCAAGCTCTATGCTTTAGTATAAAGTTTTTATACAAGTAAATATATGGTTGCGTCTGCTAATATTTGGTCTTAGCTACCTACTTTGTATTGTGTCCCCTTTTCCATTGACTAATTTTGGAAATAGTTCTATTCATAAAATGCTTAGATTCCGTATTAAGAAAAAGTTAGATGGTTTTTCCGTTCTTCCATCCGTTGCATTTTTGATCTGACATAGTACTCCAAATTTGTACTGTCTTATCATTTTAAGATCTGATTTCTTGTTTTCAAATTCTGTTTATATTTTTTTCTGTTAAATGTTTTCTTCGATCTTTGGTTTTTTTTTATAACATTTTCCCTGTTTACCTCTTTTATTCTATCCAAAAGATGCTTTGGTGACTTTTTCCTTTCGGTAAGAAATATTTCTAAAAAGAGTTTGTCGTTTATTGTAAATTGTTTATCTGTTCTAAAGTTTCTCTATTACATGCTAATGATGCATATTGGTCTTTTAGTGTATGTATAATGTCTTTTATAGTATACGAATAGTCAATATCAAGTAGATGTTAAGTGTTGCATTTCTACAATCCTCTTCCAAATTTGAAATCATTCCTCTTCAAGTTCAATATTACTAAAGAATGACCGGATCTATAACTGTTGTGAATTTCTAAATCATATACCTTTTGAATAAGGTCTTGGGATATTCAAAAATATAATCCTTATTGTTTTATGGGATTAGCTTTTTTCCATGTTTTTTTTTTCCATATGGGTAATTTTCTATAAAGAGGTTTGTTTAATTATAAAATTCTGTTAAATCTTGAACTTTCTCCTTACCTTGGAGTGATTAACATTTTTGGTAATTAAGTGTATCATGACTTTGAATTTTGACTAAAGTACAATCTCATGTTTTAACAATTGGCTGGTTTTAAAGGATTTTATAATTTCACCTAATGCTATATAAAAATGTGGTGAATTTTGTTTAAATCATATAGGAACGTCTTGATTAGGTTAACAAAATATAGAATAATGTGCAAAAAGTGCAGAATAAAGGACAAAACATAAGCAATAGGGAAAAAAGGCAAAAAAATAAAGAATAGAGAATAATGGGATGTTAAAATATAAGGAATAGAGAATAATGGGCAACAAAGGTAAAGAATAGAGCAAAATGGTCAAACTAATAAAAAGA